CCCCCCCCCCACACACACACACACGGACTGTAGGGTGTAGCACAGGGCGTGAATTACAGCCATCAATGGGGGGGAATTGAACTGGTATAATAAATTTCCACGACTGTAAGTGTGTAAAAGCGATGCTATATTTTCTGTGTAAACGAGTTTAAACCGAGGATGTTGATTGTCTGGGTAACAGTGCAGAACTGATGGTCCCCAATAAAACAAGACAGTATAGTATTTTATCCTTATCTGGAAGTAAGTAAGTAAGTAAGTGTCTGGGTAACAGTGCAGAACTGATGGTCCCCAATAAAACAAGACAGTATAGTATTTTATCCTTATCTGGACTCGATTTACTGATAAGCTCACCTCCCCCCTCCCCCCCCCCAAGAAAAACACGTTTCAGGACAGTACTGTTTAGTTTCTAAGACTGTTCAAGGCAGGGTCGGGGAATCTGTGCCCCACTAATTTATTAAGATAGATAGATAGGTAGACAGACAGTCAGACAGACAGACAGACAGACAGACAGACAGACAGACAGACAGACAGATAGATAGATAGATAGATAGATAGATAGATAGATAGATAGATAGCGGGCTGTGTCCACCTCTTTTATTTTGTATTATATACCGTATGTTTAGTACACAAACTTTGGCTTTCGCTGAACCAGCTTTAAAGCATTCGTGTAATTTTAGTTATAACGCCAAAGTTGAATACAGTAATTGTTATTCTGGAGAAGAAAAATGTTCGGTCGCTACCCAGATTCGAACCCGGGACCTTTGAATGAGAGGCAAACACCTTAACCTCTAGGCCACGAGAACTCCCCTGACAGTTTCTATCACGTGTGAAGAGACCATGCTTAAGCTGAGAATATTTTTTACTTTTCTACAATCTGCTGGGAAAATAATAATAATAATAAAAACAACAACAACAACAATAACAGTTGTGCACAAATAACACAAACATGGAAAACTCTATATCACGGATAGTTAGTACAATAATTTGCCATTCACTGTGTCAAAGACATTTTGTCAATACCCGACCAGGGTGAGTTATCCGCGCCCAACTGTAGATTATAAAGCACATACAGATTGCTGTTGAGCCAGGATATCAATCATGTGCTATTCAAGGCTAATGCCATTCATAATTTATTAATTGATATCATTTTTCCTTATCTTTTACTTCTAACCTGGATATGACCACTTGCGCTGCTTGTGAGCATGAGTAAAGAGAGAAACACGTGGACACGGCTATGGTCCCTTAGTGTAAGGAAAAAGGAAAACATTCCGACAAAACAGCAAAATTAGAGTAAAGTAGAGCCTGTCAGCAGTGCCCTCAGACCACCCATACTTTATGCTCTTTAGTTTTAGTAAGAGTTTTACGGCACTTGCAACACAATATAAGGTCATACAAGTGCTGAAAACTAGAGGTGTTATTAGAGAGTAACAAACACGTAAAAGAAGGAGGAGAGATCAGGACAATAGATGTTTGGTAGGAAAGAAGGAGCAAACCACACCAGAGCACCCGCCAACCCCCCACCTTTATGCTCTGAACCAACAGTGTAATAACACTGACCGTTGATAAACAACAATACAAAAGCAAAAGTGCGATCTCCCCATTGGTATTTTATTCCTGTAGAAAAAAATCACATTGATGTATAAACTACAGGTACACACAGATAGACAGATATCCATAGATCACGCGTATGGTAAGTAGGATGTGATTATATAATACACGAAATGGACAACATGGTGGGTCCGGCGAATTGAATGTTGGATTGACAAAGAAAAAATGGAAATTACATCATGAACGTTTGTCCACCATCAACTAAGTCTTCCAGAAAGCTGAATCAGCACATGATGAAAAAGGAGCTTTTGCTTGTATCTTGAACAAAGGAGCAGTTAGGGACAACTTCCCAAGCTCTCTCCCTTTAAGTAACATGGTCAATTCACATGCGTGTGGGTGTTGCTGGTTTTTTTGTATAGTGCAGCATTTCACACGCATAAACCACAAAGGACATCGCCTCAATAGAAGAATAAAGAATACAAATAAATGGCCAGCGAGTATCAAACAACAATTTTGTTTTGTGGAATTTGTTCATTAGTCGAGCACATTTATCAAACTGGAACAGAAAGAAAGAACAACTTTCAAACACAGCGATGCTATAGCATAAAACTACAAAATAACAAATATCTAGGTAACCAGACATTCAGAACAGGCTTTAAAAACACTTGAGGCGAAGTCTGACAATGTGTAATATTAAGCCAAACTCAATCAGAGACAATAAGAGCTGACTTTCTTTCAACTGATCTCAATTCAACATGAAAACTAGGTATAGGCAGAATTTTTCAGAAACACTGGCCTTGAAGCTAACCACAAACTATTATTACAATACAGCACTGAATCGGTAAAGTTATACTGCTTCCTTCTACTGGGTTATAACGTAAAAAGCATGCATGCAGCCTTGTTTAAGTTTCACAAAGACTAATTTATGAAATAAGCAGAAGTTCTTTTTAGAAAAAAAACAAACACTTGAAGTGTTTCCCTTAAAAATTATTAGAATAATGACTAGCCTCATGCAATGGAAAAGACATCCTGATTCTCAAAATCAAACAGTGTGGAGAAATCATACAATATTGAAAAATTCTTAAACTTTCCAATGTTTGAAACACTTATTCAAGAATATGAATTATATTGATGTTGATAAAGATCATAATGCAAGAGTTCAGGGAAAAACATGATTGATTCAACAAAAGTGCACACAGTTAGCCAAACTTCTCTCTCATAAGTTAAAATGACGTACTGTCAGGGGAAACAAAGACAAAAAATGACATTGCAATAGAGTGCTTGCCATCGGTGAGTCAGCATGATAGCAGCCACATCCAAACCAGATTTGGGTTAGGAAAACAGAAACACCAGGGCATCTGCCAAAGACATGTTCATGACAAAAATTACAACTTTTCTATTCAAACCTTCATTTTTGTTAACTATTCGCCCCCTTCAGTGGCAGACACAACTGTAAACACTAAGATGTACAAAGATGCTGGAAATCACTGAAAATATCTGGGGAAAAAAAGGACTAAGACATAGAAACCAACACCATAAAAAATAAAGACAACTCAGACATATTCATAAACCTTCATTAGATGAGATTGAGAAACATGGTTTTGACAGAGAAATGTAAACCCATTTAAATTAACTGACTGCTAACATTAACAAACATACACTAGCAAGATTGTTCTAACAACCCTTACACAATGTTTGCCATGTGTTTGAAATAAGCAGAGTTCCTTTTAGAAGAAAACAAACACTTGAAGTGTTTCCCTTAAAAATTATTAGAATAATGACTGCTAACAAACATACACTAGCAAGATTGTTCTAACAACCCTTACACAATGTTTGCCATGAGTTTGTTTAGCGCATCAGTCTCACTCATAGGTAACACATTACCTTTTTTCCCCGCTGAAGTTGATGAGTAATTGAAGGAGATCGGCAACATAAACTACTCAGAACTCTTTGGAAACAACTGTAAAAATAGTGCTACTGCATGCACAGAAGTCCATAATCTTTTGACACCAACAACAGGGTTACAGAGAGAAGACTGAAAGAGAGTACCTTTCACAGACAATTACAATGCTGGTGCTTGGCACATCCTGTGTTTTACTATCATCTACAGCATAAATACGACCCAAACTGTCTGGTCACTTAAATATATACCACCTTGTCTAAACTCAGTGCCCCTTACCTCTGACGAGAAGGGAAACTACTGGCAGCTGATACTGTTTCAATCATTTGTCAAAACAATAAGAGCCCTAAATGTAAAAAAAAATCCTAAAGTAGAGTCCATTTGGGAAGAAATAATTTTTTTTTAAAGCACACCTTATTGGCTTCTGGCATCAACAACAAACAGATTAACTTAAAACTTCAAATAATTTATACACACTATACAAGCAGATAAAAAAACATGTGTGTGGACCAAAAATACTCATCATACAATACTTTTCGTCTCCTAAACATAATACACAACCTTTTAAGGAAAAATCAAAGCAATGATTAATACTGACAGACTAACCAATAAAGAGACATCCCGCCTTGCTGTCCACATACATTCCCAACTTGTAAGCACAGCAAAAAACAAATTGTCTTACCCATGTGTAGGTTTTCTTCTCTTTCTCAGGCCTCATGGAGAGCGAATGCATTTTTCTCTAAGCAGAAGCTTTTTACCCTTTCTGAAGATTTTCTGGAGTACAGAAACAAGTAAACCACAACCTGGAATGATCTACTCTATTCCCAGCAATATCTCAATTCGGTACAAACAAAGGAAAGAGGAATCTGCTGCATTCTTTCACCATAATGAGATCTTATGCTCCATCTCAAATTCCTGCACCCTGTCGTCAGACCTTTTTAGGAACTAGCCTTTTCTGTTAGTACCAATCAGCCTTTCTCCCTACTCCTTTTTTTACCCTCTTGTCATTTTTTATCATATAGAAAAATAATTTCTCCACATCCATGCCCTATGGACACACGCCAATACCTCAAATAACGACTGATGATGCATTTGTTTCCGGGGGGAGAAAGGAACTAATAAGAAAATGTTGCATTAAGCTGCTTGAGCCTGGCAGAAAACAAAAGCTAATTTTCTAGCTTACGCAGTACATTCAATTGATACACACCATTTTGTTGTCACATTAGATAAATAGCCTACCAGGGAACACAACAGACACAATGTACATTCACACTGATCTACTTGCATCAACTCTTGATCAATGAATCCAAAAAATAAATTAAGGACAGTGCAAAATAAATACAGAAACCAAAGAGTCAAGTGAAAGGTGGGATGGTGTTTTCATCTATTAAACAACATACAACAGAAAAAAAAATCCCCTCGTTTTCATCTCACCACAGATATACAATGTGAAAAATACAAATCAAAATGCTTGGCTAAATAGCCAAAATCACAGCAGTTCTTCTGTCATTTTAACAGTTATACACCAGAGTACAAATTCATTCTTTTCTTTCACTCCCCAGTTTAGAAGCAAAACACTTTCTACTTTCAGTTCACCATAGCTGACTACTGACAATTTCCCAGACTCATGTTCATGCCTCAGTACTGGACCACTCCTCCGAGCAGCTATTGTACAGGTGACTATCTAGAGTCTAAAACAAGCTATACATAATAAATATATACAAAAGTACATTAGACATATCCATGCATCTAAACGCTCCCAAAATGACATAAAGATATGCGATCACAAAACAAAGAACATTGCACAAGCCCCTTGGTCCCTATGAAAGGAATGGCTGTGATGAAACAGTGAAGACATGGGTGAACAAAGCTTACGAACACTACTGGGATCACTCACAGGTTGTCCCTCATACATGGTTAACATCAAATCTGCACCCCTAATTGGCAGCTATGAGAGCTGTGATATGAAGGAACAAAACAAAAAACAAATGCAGACTATGACATCAATTTTGAGTGTAGTGGTCGACTTGGTGCATGCGTTAGGTACTAGTCAGGTACTAACATTTACCAGTGAATGTAATTCCCTCTAAAGCTGTGCTTACAAACGACATAAGAATGTAACTGCCTTTGGTACACCTCAATAATTTAAGCATTGTGTTGCACAGAAGTTTAACTCATCCTGTAGGCCCTATATGGGATATGGAATTAAGGTGAGTGATGTAAGAATGTTGAAATAAGACATAAACTCTTGCATGCAAGTGAGCCATTCTGATATATGCTTGCAAAAAAAATTAAGAATTGGTTCATAACAGTTCTGGCAAACATTTCATATGGCCAAAATATGTGAAAATAAAGTACCAATGTAAAAGCTTTTAATTTTGTAGTTTGCATATATTTTCATACTTTGATGGGTGATTTTTTCAAAAGTGAAAAAACGGTTCGGTTTTCACTTATATAGAACAGTAGTTTTTAAGAGTACATTTTTCCAACAAAAAAAACCACACTTGGAATAATTTGTTAAGTCTACAAGTTAGTAAATATCTAATTTCAAGGGGATCTCTTGTAAAAGCTGAAGTGAGCAAACACTGGGATGAGATAAACCCAAGAATTTGAAGCTGAGCCAAGGTGCACATCACACATGTCACTGAAAAACTCTGACTTTAATCCAAAAAAATCCAGCAACCTTTCAAGTATATGCAGTAATCAATTTAATCTTCATATATTTACAGAAAAATCTGTTATGAATTAGCTTGAACACATTTTCTAATAACCCAAGCTATGCATCATGGAAAAACAACCCTCTCTTTTCCATAAAAATCTTTCAGCTCTTCATGTGTAGAGATCTACAGTGATTGCATTTCACATCGCCACAGCTGAGCCATTCATAGGAGTGACATCATATCAGCAGGCATGAGCACAAGCAAAGCTTTTACCCTGGAGTCATAATCATAAGACTGCGTAGAGGGGACAAAATCTCCTCTTTCAAAGTGTTGTCATAGTGGCTTCCTTTATTCAAGAGAAGACCGTTTTTCCAGAGCCTAAAGAACAGCATCCTCATGGTTCTCTGTTATGGCCGCGGTTGACGGGAGCTGGATATGGTCATTGTTCTGGATGGCTCGGATGGTGTTTTCCCACACAGCAAGACACTGCAGACAATCATCAGATTCAAGATATTAACACCCCAATACCATTAAATCAAAGTAAAAAGATCAAACAAGTCCAAAAGTTTAAATATATAGGATATATAATAATATTTGATGCCAAATATTCGACAGAAATAAAACAGATAGTTGTAATGGCTAAGGCTAGTTTCAATAAAATGAGCCCTATCCTGAAAAATAGAAATATCTCAAAGAATGACTACCAACATGAAAGTTCTAAAATGCTATGTACGGTCAACCCTTCTATATGACTGTGAAAATAAAATTGAAGTAGAAGCAACAGAAATGTGGCATCCTAGATGGTTGATTGTACAGATGATTGTCTCGGACAGGTGGCCATTTAAGCAGTTTCGACTGTATCTACATCCCTGCTCCATTGGCAGCTGGGATTACGGTCAAGAAAAAGAACCAGCAGAACACATCACAGCACCCACAACCACCCACTTTTTAATCAAAACCAAAACACAAACACTTCTATTTTGATTTCCATCTTCCCCAAAGCCCAGCAAAAATATTCAAGATGCTACTGACTACGACAAAAGAGTGACTACGACAAAAGAGTCACATAATTCCAAACCTTTTCATAGTAGGAAATCTGCATGTCCGCCAGGCACATGAAGGTTTCCCTCATGTCTCTCTGCTTGTGTTTGTGCCAGCGCTCCATGTCCGCCTTCAAGTCAGCATTGGCCACAACTGTCCTGTCGTTCAGGCTCTCCATCTGATGCACCAACTAAGGGAAAGCAAAGTGCGTTTTTGTAATGAGTGTGTGTGTGTGAGTGTGTGTGTGTGTGTGTATGTGTGTGTGTGTGTGTGTGTGTGTGTGTGTGTGTGTGTGTGTGTGTGTGTGTGTGTGTGTGTGTGTGGTATGTAAGAGAGAGAGAGAGGGGGAGAGAAAGAGGGGGGAGGGGAGGAGAGAGAGAGAGAGAGGGTTGGGGGAGAGGAGAGAGGAGGGAGAGAGAGGGAGAGGGAGAGAGAGAAAGAGAGAGAGAGGAGATAAAGAGATAGAGAGATTGTGTTGATGAGTGAGTGTGCCTGTATTTAGTTACCATGCCGCAGCAAATTTCTCTTTATGGAAATACAGTTCAACCTGCCTTAACGGAAACCTGTACAAAACGGAAAACTGTCTTAACGGAATCTCCCCGCTCCCCCTTTGATATATTCCTCTTTAATTACCTGTATAAAACGGAAACCTGTCCAACGCGGAAATGGAAAGAAAAATCCACTTCCTTCCAAGGGTTTCGCCTTTCTAAGACGGAAAATTCTTTGCCCGCTCAGCCCTGATTTGAAACAAAACTCGCAAGTTTGGTTCCGCAGCCTCTAAACTTAACGCCATGGCCATGCCACTGGGCGAGGAAGGGAAGTATGGGTGCAATTTGGGGGTAGATGTTACCCCATCATGTGAGCCCTGAGCGATACAGATGGTCAGGGCAGTGTGAGTGTTTTATCTCATGAGTGCCAGTGAAAGTGCTTGAGTAGCGAGCCATTACTGAAACTTTCCTGGGTAGCCAGAAGTCAGAGGTGTGAGATTAGATTGACCAATGCCTGCCGCCCTGATTGTACACCCGACATGACGGCAGTGAGGGGTGGCACTGGTCGACTGCTTGTTACACCCGTGGGTGGGGCTAAGGGTGTAAGCAAAGGAGATGTTCAAATGTTCCTGTTTTTAATAGGTCAAATTTTGCACACATGACAGCCCCCAACTCTAAAGATTCAATAAATTCCCTGAGAAGAAGAGAACAAGTCACGATATTTCGCCTGCGAACACAACACATACCACTAAATTCCTACCTTAATAGGATCCGCAAGGATACCCCACCCGACTGCCCGTTGTGCAACTGCCAGGATGAAACAGTACCATACCACCTATTTAACTGCCCAGCACTTTGTGACCTGCATAGCACCTACCTACCTGCCTCCCCAGACATCAGAAACACTCTATGCAGCGACAAAGCACAGCTGATTAAAACCTGTCAATTCTTTGCCATATCCACAGACCGAAGGGCTAGAACCCAAATGGCCGCTGGATCGGAAAAGTAAAGTAAAGTAAAGTAATAGGTCAAACAGTGGTCCTATGAAAGGCAAGCACAGGTGTTAATTGGATACGTAAGACTGACGCATGTCATTATCAGACAGGATAGCAATTGAGAGATGTGAAGTTTTGACCACTGCTTACCGATTGGACAAGCGCTCCTAGATCCCACCGGCTGGGCCTTTGAACCCCCCCCCCCCCCCTCCCCTAAAATTCCCCTGTTTAAGACGGAAAATGTCTAAGATGGAATTTTTTTCAGGCTCCCTTGCGATTCTGTCGTACACAGGTTCGACGGTAATACATTTGTATTCGATCTTATCTTATTTCTTCTAAAAGGTTTGATTCTTCAAATCCCTGAACCTAACTGTAAGAGGAATGAGAAACATGGTCATCTCGGGTCCAGATGAAGCCCACACAGTTCTCAAGTGCAAGTTGCTTATGCTAAAAACATTTCAGCATATAAGAAACAAAAAAGAGCCTTGGGAGTCCTAGTCAGCAGAAAGGCATTGCAGGCATGGAATTAAAAGGCTGTAATTTCACTTCCTAGCTCAAACAGACAAAGCACTTTGTTATACTCTCCCTAGTTCACATAACTGTCACAGGGTACAGAAAACTGCAGTCTGGTGACCAACAATGGCCTAAAACAGTTTTTAGTGCTGGAAAAGCAAGGGGATTATACAGAACAAAGACAAATTGTCCTGACTAGATGCACTGTCTGTGCTGTGCAGGATTGAGAATCAACATTTTCCCCACACTCTAGCAATGGGAGGAGGAGGAGGAGGAGAAAAAGAAGAGTGCACCAGAGGAAATAATTCAGTCACTTAAAAAAAAAAGAAAAGAGAAAAAAAAAATGCAAACAAGCTAAACATAACTCTAGCAACATTTCAAAAATGTATTAGAATGTAAACAAACCACAAAAAATTTGCAAAGAAACCGATAAACTGAAAACAGGAGTAGCTACTCACATCTGCAATTTGCACCTCCAGTTTATCATGTTTCTGCTGTTTAACATCCTCAGGATCCTTGCCAAGTAAGGCCCCTATCGAGTAGGTCTGATCCGAAGTCTTGATCTGTGTAGTGGGAGGAATAAAAGCTGCTCAAGAGAAACGACAACCTCTGAGATTTGGCAAAGGACATTAAACCAGTATATCAACTCATTTTTAAAAAATAATGTGCAAAAGTTCACAATTAGCTTATTATCCAAGTCTGTCTGGCTCATTAATTGCACATAGCAACTTCAGTAAATATACATATTATCTGAAAGAATCCAGAATCGCATGGTACACAGGACATCGCATTAACAAAGCACTTCACGTCTCTCATGTAAAAAAAAAGGAAAAAAAAAATCTTCATTTTCTCAGATTTTCAAAACTACAAAGACTTTTGAATTAGGATCACCTGAATGACAGTTTAGACTACCGAAGAGGGAAGAGTAATTGTAAGTGATGAAATTAAACCTCAAGAGAGAAAGGTAAATCTCACATTGTCCTTGTCATCCTTACGCTTTGCCAGCTCATCAACAACCATGTCATACTCATTCTGGATAGCATCCCGTCTTCTTAAAACAGTCTGGAAATAAACAAATGTCAACAGCAGATATATAACTGCAGGAGGGCATTTTAAATTAGTTTAAAGACATTAGTCTCTTGCAGTTAACAGAGTTTAGTTACAATATGATATATGAGAGCAATTGAAAATACCATAGAGGTAGTTGTTTTTTTTAAAGGCCACACAGGGGTTTTGGGGGGTCCAGTTTGGGTCCAAACAGTGATTTTTGGGGTTTTAAGAAGCTTCCCTTGAAAATTATGTCCTAAATCGAATGGAAACACTCCCAAAGAGATAGCTCCTTAAAGTTTGTAACATTGTAAGCCAATACAGTGTTCCAAAGCAATTTTGATATGTTTTTGCTCCTTTCTGCAAAATGTTCATTTCTTGGCTTTTAAAAGCTAAAAACTCAAAAACCATTTAAGATTAAGACATGAAACTTGGAGGGTACGTGCACCGTGAAATTCCAAATACAATGACGCTAACTTTTTAGAATTTTTGAAAAAAAATAAATTTTTAATATTTTTTCCCTTGGCTATTTTTGTAGTATTATGTGTACTTTGGCACTTAACGTCAAACGGACAATTGGCAACCTGAGGGGACCCACGGAAGTAGGAGAGCGAGACTTCCGGGTCCGGATCTGGACTTGAGGTAAACACAACATGGTGGCAGCGGTCACACTAAGAACCCAGAATCAATGTCAATCTATACATATCGTGCAACATCTGGGCAAAATAATAAAGATCTAGGGATATTCTGAAGGACGGAGCACATTTATTGTTTAATAACTCAGGTAATTTGTGTGTAAACTGTGATCTAGATCTAGCCCTGAGATGGCCGAAGAGGAGACCACGAAACCGGTCATTGCAGGTATCAAACCACCGGACAAACTGGTCCTGGGGTCTAATCCAGTAGAAAACTGGAAGTTATTCAAGCAGAGATGGAATACATATGTCATCCTCTCACGCCTAGAAAACTTAGATCAAAGGTTCAAAGTTGCACTCTTTCTCCATAGCTTGGACGACGAAGCACTCCGAATCCACAATGGGTTCCAATTCACTACAGGTGAAAACGACCGCTCACTTCGAGAAATTATTTTTTTAAATTCGATGAGTTCGTCATAGGCGAACAAAATGAAACTTACGAACGTTTCAAATTCAATAAGAGAAACCAAGCGCACGGAGAAACCTTCGAAACATTCCAGGCAGATCTTAGACGACTTGCTAAAAGCTGCAACTTTTGCAACGATTGCAGAGACTCATAGATACGAGACAAAATTGTCACGGGCACTGAAAACCAACAGGCTCGCATAGAATTACTAAAAGAAGGGCAACTCACACTGGAAAAGTGTAAAGACATCTGCTGTTCTACAGAGGACGCCGCAACCCAGGGCTTTGCCCTTCAAGACTCCATGACAGCAGACGTAGAGGCAGTGAAATGGAACCAAAACCAAAGACAACTTACCAATCGTAACCCTCAGCGCCCCTATCCCAGTGCACAAACGCAATCTCAACACCCAAACGTACCTAGTAAGCTCACTTCATCCTGCAGATTTTGTGGCTATTCCAACCACCCACGGACTCAATGTCCAGCTCGTACAGCACGTTGCAACACCTGCAACAAACTCGGACATTACCAGAAAGTTTGTCGCTCAGGGACTGAACATGCCTCAGAGAGACTAGAGTCCATCCTTTGAGGTCCGTAGAGGAAGACCTTACACAGTTCGCAGGCAGTAAATTTGTCACAAAACTGGATGCAAAATCGGGTTTCTGGCAAATTCCGCTATCAGAGGAATCTCAAAAGTACACTACCTTCCTGACTCCATTTGGCCAATTCTGCATGAACAGGCTACCCTTTGGAATTTCATCAGCATCAGAGGTCTTCCAGCACAAAATGGCAGAGATTCTTCGTGAGCAAGATGGCACAGTAGGTCACATCGATGACATTAACATACATGCCCCAGACAAAGACACTCAAGACAAACGGGTGCGAGAGGTGATGAAATGTCTCCAAGACGCAGGACTCACTTTGACTATTTAATCATTCGCTAATATGCAAGTCATATAAAAGTAATACTTTTCTTTTCCGATCCTTCGGCCTGTCGATATGGCAAAGAATTTACAGGTTTTATCAGTTGTGTTTTGTCGTTGTATAGAGTATTTTTGATGTCTGGGTAGGCAGGTAAGTACGTACTATGCAGGTCGCTAAGTGCAGGGCAGGTAAAGAGGTGGTGTGATACTGTTTCATCCTGGAAGTCACACAACCGGCAGTCGGGTTGGGTACCCTTACAGATCCTATTTAGGTAAGAATTCAGTGGGATGTGTTGTGTTCACAGGCGAAAGATAGTAACTTGTTCTCTTCTACTCAGGGAATTTAGTGCATCTTTTGAGTTGGGAGCAGTCATGTGTGCGAACACAGTTCTTCCAGTTTTGCCCATTGCCCATCCATTCAGCCTCTGTTCCATGGTGTTGCATTTGATGATGTTCTTGACTCTCTGTTGTGAAACTGGGATTTGAGGTTGTGTTTGTGATGCTCCCTTCTCGGCAAGAGTGTTTGCTCTGTCATTTCCTTGAATGTGGCTATGGCCAGGTATCCACTGTAAAGGCATGTCGACGGTATAGGTCTGGATGAAAGTGCTAATTGTTAGCGTCACAGAAAGGCAGGCTGGGCTTTCGAAATTCATGTTTTCCAAAGCTTGGAGTACTAATTTTCTGTCTGTGGAGATAATAGTGTCCTTGATTTTGTCTGGATACATAATGAAAATGTTGGTCAGGTGGAGGATTGCTGCTTCAATGGTGATGGCCTCTGCCTCATAATTCGTACAAGAAGTACCGCAAGCATCAAATAGTTCTTCACATGTTTTGTCAGGATGTTTTATTCTTACCCCAAAGCCTGCATTAATAGTTCCTTTGAAGGCTGACCCATCAGTGTAAATATGAATTGAATCACTAGGGTAGGAGTCAATTGTTTCGAGAGCTGTGGTCTTCAGTTCTACTGGGTCACATTCCTTTTCCACTGTCTCCTTTATGAGGGAAGTTTTGATGTTGGCGTACTAGATGTTGGCCTGACAGGACCAACCCAGGTTGAGAAGGATACAACATCCCAGCAAAAAGGCCGAGATACTGAATAAAAATTCTCCCTACTTGGAAAGCATACTAAGCTCTCCTGTGTGTGACAGCAAAGCTTCTAACCGCAATACCACAGACACCGGAGTGGTAGTTCATGAAAATTCTAAAAATTACCTTTCCCACAGCCAATGTCTTAACTGGGGTAGCAGATCAAACCTACATCTTGTGACTGCACTTTAAAGCCACTAGAATAGTACATCAACACCACCTAATTATCAAGTCAGTACAGGCAAAGAAAGAATCAAAAAAAGAAACCAAACAAAGAAAACAAAAGCAAAAACTCAGCCTTAAAAAGGAAGGTCATTACAGAAAAACTTTAAGCACCAGGTTTACCTTAATACACTCCGAGTACAACAAATATTCTTTCAGTGGCTGAGCAAATCTCGTGTCTGTGTCATCAATCTGAAGAGGTTAAAACAAAAACAAAAAATAGAGTAGACAAATCTCCACCCCACCTTAGAGTTTCAATTGACAAAAATACAAGACCACAATTAGGATTACATTGTGACAAGGACAAGCATGAGCCCAATTAACAAAAACAAAACAAACAAAAAACAAAAAAAGAAGGACAAAAGGATGACAGGGATAACAGCAATATTATATCTTACCATCTGCAGTCTGAAATGTGCAGACTGTGAAAACAACCCACCAAGGCTAACATTTCGTCTCATGAAAAGGAGGATTAAAATTTTTTTTTTAATACACTCCGATACTTCACAATATAGATAAGTAAAATATTTTCCGTCCAAATGAAAAAAAGGGAGCGGAAGCAATAACAGATCACAAATTATGTCTGTAAAGAACTCTATAATGATCATCATCAAACACTGAAAAACATAACGCTTATGCAGCTGTAACTCAGGAATGACATTTCCTTCCACGCGATTAGATTCTAAAAAAGCCAAGTTGGTAGCTTAATGAATAGATAGGGCACAGTTTGAACTCGGTGTGGCTTACCCACATTCCAAATCTTACAGAGGTGTATCTGAACCTATAGAGCTTTGAGCGAGTGCTGCAAAAAAAACTTCTACACCCAAATATCAAATATTGATTAAATGAATTATCCTGACCTCACTTCATAAGGCTATGTTGCAGTTGTAGGCCTGTCAATTTTGTTGAAAAGAAAAGAACACCTGTTTACACATTTCTTTGACAATGATAGGAGCATGAGCAAAAACAAAGAGCAACTTACCAATTCCTTTACATATTTGAGACACTCATCCACAGATTTAGACATAGTCAGCAATGCACCCGTCAAATGGTCTTCTGAATTTGCCCAAAGGGTGTAGCAAGGACCCCACTCCAAGAGTTCTGCCATGTAATCTGGAATTACAACCAAAATAATGAGGTAAATGATTTTAATGACATAAAACAGCACAGAAAATACGAAAGAAAAAAATGTACAACTTTTAAAAAACAACAGAACATAGCCATAACCCTTTGAGTCCTACTTTCCTCAGCCTAAACCACCATGCACCTGAGCTCTATGGTGTAGCATTTAGGCACATCATCGTCACACATTGAAGATCAGAAGTTGATTTCCTTGTGGGAGAACATTTAACAAATATATCTCTGCTGGGAAGCAGAAGTGCTAACTGGTCATGAACAAAAATCCTGAATTTTTCTAACCTCATGGAAATGCACAGACGCTGACTTACAATTTACTGATCATATTGTATTTTACTGGGGTCTGCAGCCTTTTCGGCCAACTTAACCATAGCTTAGTTCGGAGAAAGCCTGCTAGGCCATTTAAAAAATGATGTCAAAGAAGGATTTTATTAATCATTTGAAAATAGCACTGCATATAATGGTAATGCCTATTATCAATTACACATATGTAATTGACCTTGATCTTAAAAATATCTGCCTTGGTCATTAGCAACAGCTTTAGAGCATTCAACCAAATGATTCACCCCTTGACTACCAAAAAAGAAATGTTGAAAATGGTATGAGTTTAACGCCCCTATCAACACTATTAGGTTATTTAAGGGGCGGGACCTCCTAGTTTAACGTCCGTCTCCGATAGGACCGACCCAAGTGGGAAATTCATGTAAAGTGTCTTTCCCAAGGACACAACGTCGGACCGAGCTGAAGCTTGAACCCCCGAACCCGCAATCTCACGATTACGAGTCCGGTAGCCTAACCACTAGGCTACCGACGCCACTCCCCCTTGACTACGCGGTAAATGTATCTCAAATGGTGGCTAGAACCCATGTCTTTGATAGGAAGCTATTTCAGCCTCTACTAAGTTTTAAATAAAAAGAGTGACATCTCTTGAAAGCTTGTCATTTTAGACGTGAGATCATATCTATACATAGACTGTTGGACTGAAAGTTTTATAATGGAAAACAAAACAAGGTGTGTTGTTTTACTTAAAACGTATCGTGTGAGCTGACACACAGACTCAGAACGCTTGTTTAGTCTCAATACTTTATACTTGTTTACATCGCTATGGCTTGTTCTATCAGTCTTGTCAGTGGATAACACCATTTCTTCATTTCTCTTTTTATTGATTTGATATATATTATATAGTTTGACAGGTAGCCTGAGCTTAGGTGTGTTGTCTTTTTCAATCACATTATGCTAGACAGGGCCAAAGTGTAGAATCGGAGCGCTTGTTTAGTCTAAGTACTTTCAAGTTGTTTACATCGTTATGGCTTATTCTATGCAGATCTTGTCAATAAATGAATTCATCTCATCATTTCTCTTTCTACTAGAGTTTTTACCGATCTGTCTCTTAAAATGCATCCGTCGATTAAAGATTGTAATCTGTGACTTCTTGTGCACTGTAAAATTTTCCTTAGCGTATGGGGTACATATATGGTTTGCAGTCAAGGGTTTAACAATGTCGGGTGATGCAAATAAGGGTGTCAGCATCTCTTCACTGATGAGTACATTGATCTATGCTCAAAAATAGAAAACCAGTTCGGGAACGTCTTTTGGCTATGAGTGAAACAATGAATAACAGTTGCAGTACAGTTTATTATTAGGCCAGTAGTCATAATAAACGATCTGTAGAGGGGCACTAAGCTGGATGGAAATGCTCATTATGCTGGAAATGGCCTAAAGACCCCTAGACTAACACATCATGATAATAGGACGGAAGACAGGCATAGTGGGACAATTTCAGAAATCCAGAAAATCAGCACCTGTGCACAGAAGAGGCCTGCACATAACGTGGACCTACTGCTGTCCTGTCAGCTATAAAACTGTGCAAACAACTGATCAAGTAAGTGTACATTACACATGTGCAATACCCTGTCTTTTTGTAAATACAGGGTAGTTGCATGTGTGCAGCAATCAGGTAGAGTGAGCTTTACAGTCAGTCTCACCGTTCTGCTCTTTGGCAACTCTTTGAGCAATGCGATCCATAACTCCAAGCTTGTCTTGAAGAAGTGTCATGTAATCATGCATGGAAGCAAATTCTGGAGGTCGATTCTTCATCATGTATGATGCTGACATGTTGTGAAGAGAGTCTGACACACGTGTCAAAAAGCCAGAACCCTGTTTCTTGTGAGCTTGGAACTCCTAAAAAGTGGGGAAAGATAGTATAGCTTATATATGTGAAAATGTTTTATTTGTTCGACGCATAAATACCACACCACATACATTAGATGAAAAAGAGGCACAACAAGTGTCAAAATACAAGACCAGGCCTTAGCACTCAGAAACTCTGTTAATATCGCCTGTAAAAATTTTAAGTCCTTCAAAAGCAAAGCTTAAAAGAGGATCATTTCCAATTCTAAAAACATATATTTTGGTTCAGTAGTATATATTCAAGGACTCTTCTTTTTCATTCATTTCTCTGATGTTACATTTCACATTACAATATTTAAAAAAATAAACTATTCGAACGATGATCACTTAATTCAAGAGAATTGGAAGAAACAGTAAAGCAAGTCCATGAGTTTTCATCTTTTAACTAAGCACTACCTTCCAAAGGTCAACATGAACAGTAGCATTGGATAGCATACCCAGGCTTTAGCTGTCAGGAAAATCTGGAAGCACGTGTCAAAAGATAGAACAGGATGATCAGCCACCCGTGTGAGAAACTTTTGTAGTGCTGCCTGGCGAACTTTGAGAAACTCAGTGCTGAACCGATCCAAACGCTTTAAGCTGTGTTTTTCCGGAAGAGGCTGCAAATGATCATTTAAGAGCAAATAATATTATGATACCAAGGACCAAAAGAAATTAACATAATATTGTATTTTCAGTCAACTTTATTCAGTTTGACAAAATACATGGTGCATACACAGCGCTCAGTGGGGGCTTTCGTGGCCTAGAGGTTAAGGTGTTCACCTCTCATTCAAAGGTCTCGGGTTCGAATTCGGGTCGCGACGGAAAATTTGTTTTCTCTAAAGTTGTCTCCTTTCACCTCCTTTCCTGCTCTCTAGCAATGTACTGTCGTCTGCTTTCGTCTCCACTTTCTGCCCCCTCCTCTGGGCTCCTGACTCTTTCTGCAGTCTTTCTACTGCTATTCCTAGGCTACTTTTCACTGCTGTCTTTCAGCCACACCCCTGATCTTCTGGTAGGAAAGATCTACACCTAGCCTTCTCAGACAAGGGTAAAAAAACCTCAGAGGTCCCGAGTGCAATCGCGCATGTTAAAGATCCCTTGGTGGTCTAAAATCGATAAGAGTATAGTAGGCTTTGCCACCTGAGCAAAATTCAAAATTTCTTACAAACTGAAAGTGTTTAATGTGTCCCGCGCGCTCGTATATGACCTTATGCAGTTGCGAGCACCGTAAAACACTTACAACTACAGTCTTCATTTGAACTATGATAAATAGAACCTTGTGTCAAACTAGTTCGCAGGATAAGACCTTCTACTTTGTTGCATCTAATGCTTTGGAAAGGGAGGGTACGACAAACAAGAGCATTGTAAATTGATAATGCCATAGAGCCATCTATCTCAAAAAAAGAGAAGTTGCAATGATGTGCTCTCTACAAAATTAATATCAGTTTCATATGTAGACCACTTTATAAATTTCCCCTATGAATAAGTGTAATTTTGGTATCAAATGAGTATCATTTAGAGAAAAGTCACTCATTTTCTTCTGCTTCACATCTCACAAACATACAAGACTAATCTTGACACCAACTGAACTGAGAACTGACCTGAGTGTAAAATAAACTAGCATTTCCCTTTCTTTCTAAAATGCATGATGAACTACACTGTGTCTATTTTCGTTTATTCTTTAACAAAGTATCCATCTCAACCAAAACAACACACAAAAAGATTTTTTTTAAAATATGCACCTCAAAGCTGTTTGTTTTAAGATTCATTTGATACAAGGAATTATATTATCAATATTGATGAATTTAAAAACAAAAAACAAAACAAGGATTCTTTCTCCATTCAGAGAGTCTCAAGTTTGATTTACAATGCCATTGGGAGCAAAGTTCAGTGTACTTACAGGCACAAGATGAGTAGGGTGTTTCTCCTCTAATCTTTGTCGGATCCAAAGAAAGTCATTGTAACGTCTGCGGACACTGAACTCAGTGCCCTCAAACTCAGTTCTGGATGTCTGCAATATAAAATTGTTCATGCATAATTGCTTAAAAATTTTTCTAAAGGTCCACATAAATAAACAAGCATAAAAATATTAGGATATAGGATATTGACTGATAAAGTGTACACATGTAATCATTAATCATTGTCCTCTCTTCTGCACCCCAATATTAAAGTAATGAGACAGTCAACACGAGATTCTCCAACGCACTGCCCACTGATTTTTACATATAACTTAAGACTGCCATGAGGCCCCTTAAAACAATTTTTTCTTTCAGAAGGACGGCAGAAAGGGAGGCTTGGGTTTGTGTGTGTGTCTGTAACAATAAGTGTCTCAGTCTGTCAGTTTGTGTGTGTCATTTGCCTGTCTGTGTCTTGTATCTAAATATGTGTCAATAATGTGAGTCTGTAAGTATTTGACAAGAAATGCCTGGGGAGGAGCAGAGGTGGCGACAAAGTCAAAAGGGTAAGGCAGTATATATACAGTCGAACCTGCCTTACACAGGTTCCACTGTGTGCATATATATATATATATATATATATATATATATATATATATATATATATATATATATATATATATATATATATATACACACACATACATATATAGCTATCAAAAGGTGAATGAGCAACATTTCTTTTGCATGTTTATTCGATTTCATTACTTCAACGAGCACCTGATTTCAACATGATGCCTCACATTATTACTGGCAAAGTTGGAAGAGCATGGGATGCATTAGTTCTGAAAACCAGATCCTCTTTGTTCTGATTACAGACTGGTCTTGGAAATTCTTAAAATACACTGAATTTTTCATCCAATTTTGTTCTCAGTACAAACAGCTCCAAATGAAATTTGATATCCCTATTGTATGAAATACAGTTGAACCTGCCGTGACGGCCACCTGTACAAACAGCCATTTTCTATTTCCCCCACGCGTTTTTTCTTTTTAATTTCACTGTGTAAAGCGGTCATCTGTCTAACGCGGCCACAGCCACCATATTTTAACACACAACCCTTATCACACCAAACAATACCACCTGTCTTAGATGGCCACCTTAGTGGCTCCATTACGTTTTGTCATAAATATGGATTGGCCCTGGGCTTTGTGGGCCAGCTATCATAATCCAATCACCTGTCTTTGTTGTTGGGTAGTCTCACCAACTGATCATGTTGCGTTGGCCCCTCCCACTGCTGACCAATAGGTATAGGTAACAGATTTTCACCTGCTGGTGAGATTTGTAAGCAGGTGATCCTTCATAACCCATAAGTCCCACCCAGAACTCATATTACAAATTGTAAGTGAGATGAGTGGTCACTGTTTACCCAGTCCGTAACAAAGAAACAATGGACGTCAACATAAACTTGAGACAGAAGCATCGCTTGTTCTCAGAGTGGTGGTGACCCATGTACTTGTTTTAACATGGCACTCAGTCTTACTCGTCTGACACATTTCGTTTTATTGTCACCCTTGCACAAAATCAGAGACAAGATAAAAAAGCAGCAGCAGCAATGCGGCTACCTTCGGTTGGGACCTCAGAAGGGAATGGTTTGTTTTCTTCATTTTGATCAGTCCTGCCTAAGACGGCCACCTGTCTTATACAGCCACTTTTCTCCTTGACAGTGGGTGGCCGTCTTACACAGAGATCAAAATCTATTTCATTAGTAATGGATATTATGCATTCACAAACTTCATTTTAACTTCTGCTATGACTTGTTGGCAAACTAGTTATTGTGGTTTCTGGTATGGTACAAACCAAGGAGTGCAGTAGTCTCCGCCTAAGATCCCGGTGCCCGGGAGAAAGGAAAATGTGGGATCTTAGGTGAACCGGGATCTTAGCCAATGAACCTCGTGAAGAATCTACGGTGACCCATGTTAAGCCTCATAATCGGTAAATTGGTCTCCTTCCACTTTAAAATGAACTGACATGCCCACTTGGTGGGTTTATGACATATGACGAGCAAAGAGTGGTTAACCTTGATGACCTATCACAGTGCATACTGGCATGAGGCGTGCCATTTTCACTTATTATCCTATCGTGAGTCTCAGGATCTATGCTTATCCAGTTGCCCCTTCCCTTTATCTGTTGAAAACTTATAGCTTTCCTTCTCTGACCAAGTTCCTCGCCTATTGTCAGTACGCACCATTACCTTGTGACCACATTTCAAATTAAAATTCAGTCTGTCTCGCGAACTTGGGAATAGAGAAAACTGCTGCAATGGTCAAGGAAGAGTTCACAGCACGATATGATCCCACCTGGAGCAAAGTGGTGTAAGTTTAGGTGGAAAGTTTAGGTGCGAGTGCGATGTTTGGGGAAAACAAACGTGTAGGATAGTTCACACATCGGTGTGATCTCATCTGGGGCAAACATTGTACCGTTTCATTGAGTTTTACAAGGCTAAATGTTATCACATTCACGAGAGTGGCAGATCTTTGACACAACGGGCAGTCCATTGATCTCAACTTTCCACTCGTGGTTGATTGGCTGTGCCCGCAGGGGTATTTGTTCCATAAATTATTATTCAGAAATGCGGGATCTTAGCCAAATGTAGACCTTCAGAGTGGATCAGAGCGGGATCTTAGGAATGACTTTTGTTAGCAAAAATTCTGTTTTCTTAAAACAGCGGGATCTTTTCAAGCGAACTGAGATCATAAGCGGTGGGATCTTAGGCGGAGACTTCTGTAATTGAGACAATTAAATTTCCAACCATTTTTAGCCCTCATAAAATCAATAACTAACCTTGGTTGTGACTCTGAATGTGATGTAAGCTTCTAGAGTACTGGTGTGCTTCTCTGGATCATCCACAACAATAAACAAATCCCTTGTCTCACCATCATAATCATCATCCAATCTAAAATTAGCAATAAGGCTTGAGCTTCGAGACACAGACCCTTCCTCTGACTTTGCAGATGCCTCTAGGTCTAGGCTTTCCATCTGAAAAAAAAGATCAATTCATGTATAACACAAAAATGCAAAATGTGACTATATTTTTAAGACAGACATGATTTCAGTTTTGCCAATGACCCTGCCACCGCCATTACACAACAATTGACAAATACTAGACTAAAGACCATTTTAGATTTTTTTTTTTAAGAACAGTTCAGAAGACTGCTTTCCTTATATAAGAAGAAATTATATCTTTCTTGTCCAGATGCAGGCCCATTGGTTCGATGATTCATTACACACACACACACACACACACCAATTACATCACGTATGTCTACACACTCATCCCATATCATACACACTAGACACAATACTTACGGCCCTACCTTACATTCTCTTCCACTTCCACATATCTAGGCAACATGATAATATAGGTAATACCGCAGAGTTGCAGTCCCTGTCCCGTAAGTCAAGTAAAAAAGATGACTGAGTTGCCAGGGTGAAAAGACCCATTCTAGACTATTTTTCGGCACTACTTTAATGGTTTTTTGGAGTGCTGTGAACAATTTTGGCTCTAAAAACGGTCACAAACCATTATCTTTCAGAATTTAGCAGGGGGTACACCCCCTTTTGCAGGGGGGCGTCCCCCCTGCCCCCCCCCCCCTTTTTTTTTTGGCCACCTTTATTCTCACCTGCGGTGACAATTATAACGCAGGCGAGCCTTTTGGCTATTCTCACCAGGTATGCGTTCACAGTGACACCCTAGGCCAACCAGTGTAGCGTTTACTGTGAACCACAGTGATAACAGAAGTGTAGAATTCTGTGCCGAGAACAAACATTCCAGCGCTCTTGTGTTGAAAGCGAGCAATTTTGTCTTTGGGCAGCGAGAGAGAAAGATAGAGAGAGAGGGAGGGGAGGGGAGAGAGAGAAAGAGAGAGAGTAGCCTTCCGGACAAAACAAAATGGCGACCCGCGTAGTTCGGCTCGTTTAAAAAAGTTAAATAGCCGTAGCATCTTTGTAGACGACCAAATTAATTTACTTTTGAGTTTCAACATCATTTTTTTATCTTTGTTTTTGTCAATTTGATCGCCCATACCGATAGACAGTGTTCAGAAAGAGACAGAGAGAGAGAGAGACAGAGAGAGGAGCATTAGATCTTGCGAGAGCTTCCGGGCAAAACAAAATGGTGACCCGTGTAGTTCCGCTCGATTTGAAAAGTGAAATAGCCCATGGCATCTTTGAAGTCAATCAAATTAGCTTACTTTTGTGCTATAACATCATTTTTTCTTTGCTTTTGTCAATTTGATCATCCACACCGATAGACGGTATTCCGAATTTAGGAACAACAGGTCTTGTTTCATACCGGTTGAGAATAGCCAACACTGGCAAGTCTCACCCCGGGTGAGAGGTCGATCGTATTTTTATTCTCACCCCGGGTGAGGATAGCCATTTCCTTTTCATGACACGATCCATTTGTTTAAAAAATTGTACTTTGGCTATTTTAATGTGCAGTTTGGCATTGTATGCATTGAAAATCTGGCCAGTATCGTCACCCGGAAGCGAGATATTACTGTATCCAACTGTCAACAAAGAAACGGGACCACAACACTGCGGATATTTACACTTACAAAAATAGACCCAGTTACACAAACATGAAATTATAGAAGAACAATTATTGTTTGAGAATAAGAGTTTAGAATTAGAAATCAACCAGTTTAGTTTGGATCACTAAATCAGTTTGACCATAATCAATCAATCATTGTTATCAATCGTATCATCAATCATGCAGCAGTCGAGATTCGCTTTATTGTCTTGTAAGTGATTGTTGTTGACATGAACACGGCACATTATATTAATATTGCAGTCTTGTTAAACGCACAATTGGGGCAAACTGTGAAAGAAAGGGTTCTAGCAGGCAGATTTCTTGAACAACTTCACTGAGTTCATGACTAACAATAGATCTAGAATCTTGTAGAGGCTGAGCCTGACTGCTGCTGGCCAGTTCCCAAAACTACTGTCTCTGCTGACTGAGTCAGAAAATCAAAAACATAAAATCAGCAGGGGGCCTCTCGTAGATAAGTGTGGGTAACCATAAAATAAATCACACAACCACCATACCCCATCATCATCACTCTCTCTGTCAAGACCCGTCAACAGTGGGTCTTTGAATTTGATTTTGTCGTCAGCTGGTTTAGAAGTATTGTTATCATCCCCCTTCAGAACCCCGATTTCCTCTATAGCAGCCATTTCTGAGACGCCACCTGCAGCTGTGAAAATAGATGGGAGGTGTCAAATTATGCCAGTTTGGTAGGCTTGACAAAATTCCAAGGGATTTTGAAACAAAAAAAGTCAAACGTAAAGGTCATGCTAGTGAACACTTTTTAAATATCTTTCACCATAATTGAAAATTATTTCACGTTAAATTATTGAAAATGAACTCATCTTTGCCGGTGGAAAGCTTTGAAAACGTAGATAGGCCTAGGCTAGAGTATGCAAATTCAAAGTACGCAATCTGTTTCAAATTAGGCCTATTTCAAGAACAACATATAGATCTATGTGATTAATATCATGAACAGTTAGAATGCCGTATTTTTTATTTTCTTTAAGACACTAGATTGTAAGGACGTTTCAACCCTTATTTTTATTTATTATAACATAGTATTCCAGAGTAAAATCTAGTAGGCCTTGGCTATGATTTGATATTTTTATTCCCCCAACAAAATCGGGCATCTGAAAGCGAAACCGGATGTATGTTTTTAAAGTTCTAAGTGAAGCACACTGTGTTTGTGTTTATTGTGTTTTCACGTTTCAGTCCAGATCATGTGTAATTGTCACTTTGACTGTAATAGTATTGATGAATACAGTTTTGGATCTTAATCCAGGTCAAAGATATTCTCACATTAACTTAAGTAGTGAATATATTGAATTCAGATTTGGATGTAGATCTAGATCTAGATTTAGACTTGATCAAAGATAGATCTAGATCTAGATCTAGAATCTAGATTTCTAGATCTAGAGAATCTAGATCTAGATATATAGATTCTAGATATAGAATCTATAGATCTAGAATCTAGTAGGCCTAGGCTTCTTTTTGTTTTGGATGGTAAAGCCTCAGAAAATTGCATTTATTTCATTGTAAGATCTCTAGATCTAAATCTTGATCTAGTTCTTCACTATTACGAGATTAGGCTAGGGCCCTACGTGGTAGATCTAGATTCTATTTATCTAGATCTAGACCTAGTGTGAACACTTCCTCCTTTATAGGCAAAGCGCACCTTCGATAAAATTATGTCCGCACCTCATGCAGCTCTTGGTGGAGCAACACAAGGTAAGAAATTGAGGCTAGATCTAGAGATATTTTCTAGATCTAGGGTATGGGGTTGGGATGAAAGTTGCCGAACGTTAGGAGAAATAGTGCCAATCTTTATTTCTCCGAACGGTTTCCGGTCTCGTGATTTTTTGCCTATTTATTGCGAGAGTTCGGCGCCAACTTTCATTCTGCCTCTGGTCTGGGAAGGAACACCGCATGGCAAGCCCGCCTACATACAACCTTCAGTAACCCCCACCACACACCCACCACCATCATGCACATGTACACACACAAACTTATACACACACTAACTAAACATGATCAGTGGGCAACTTTTGAACGTATGACGAGCTGAGTTGTGGATGGAGAGACAGTGTGAGTGACAGAGCGGGTGAAAGGTAGAATTTACGAGTGTATCCACAGGCGACAGCAACTACAAGACGACGACACCGACACCCCCCCCCCCCCCCCCCCATGGTTCGCAGGAAGCAAGGGAATGAGTGAGATTTTCTTTGTGTGTGCCTGGAGGGAGGGGGTGGGTTGTTAAAGTCATGAGGGCGGGGATGAGCCGTGGGAGAGAACACGGGAATTGAACGAATGAGTGAAACTGAAAGAGAGGAACGACTCATGAGCCCTGGAGTGAATAGATCCTGTGTTTTTATTTTTGTATACTTCCTGTTACTGAATAAAGGATGAAATAAAGCCCGAAAAACACACACACTCCTCACTCTCCACTTACACACTTGCTACCACACACAGACACACTCACACACGCACATGAATAGACACACACACAGGAGCAAATTTTTGGGTCTATATCTATTTCAATTTTCAAGAGCAAGTCTAGAGATTTTTAGATGAGTGTAAAAACGTGAAAAAGAAAGGTTTCACAACAGAATGAAATCAAAATTAGTCGAACAGCCCATAAACAACCACAAAAATAAACATATAAGGGTGTGTGTCAACCTGTCCGAAGAAAATTGCCTGTTTTAACCCTAAAAGTGTGTAAATTTTTTTTTTTAAGTACAGGATATTACATGTAAATTATGGAATCACACACTTTAAGGGGCCTGCCAGTGTCAGTACATGTAATCGGTTTTGGTGGAAGGTACGCTCTAACATAAAACATTTAAATCTACATGTATATATATTTAGAATCTAATGAAGGAAGGAACATCAAATTAAATGACGTTACAGTGTGCAACATCCCCCCCTCCTTTCCCGACAAAAAATGGTAGAAAAACAACACATCAGAACAGTAACAAGGAAAAAAATTGCACACTAACAAAATAAAACACCACAAAGAGTCAAAGAGGGAAAATAAAAGTAACTGTAACGTATTCAACAAATCAACGTGGTGACAACAAGTGAGAAAGAGACTAAGTGAAGCTAAGTGAACTATCTTTCAAAAGTAAAGAGGTTTCGGTTTCTTTCTTTTTTTTTTTTAATTTGACGACCAAAAAATGCCAAAAAATCGAGCCACGATTGATTGGTCGCGGCCGCGACAAACGCAGAAGCTAATTCTATGTGGCGTTATCAATAACCCTCCGTAGATCTAGATCTAGACAGCACACGAGTGAACACAACACATTAAGTTTAAGAGCAGCACCCTTCATAGGCAACACGTCATATCTGTAGCGAAAAACTGTTTAGGCAACACGTCATATCTGTAGCGAAAAACTGTTTGGAACTGTAGCATTTCTTTATAAATATTTACTGCGGACTTTTTTGGACCGATTGAACCATATTGTATACGAACAATCTTTGGTAGGCCTATACTCTATATATCCAAAATTAGTGGCCAGCTTTGTTTTCCCGAGCGTTCGGAGAAATAGTGCCCAGCTTTATTTTCCCGAACGTTCGGAGAAATAGTGCCTAGCTTTATTTTCCCGAACGTTTGGAGAAATAGTGTTGGCCTTTGAGATTTTACTAACTGTGGCTAGAGACCTGGGCCACTGAGACCTGGGATTTGAAGAGAGAAAATATTACAATCCTCTGCTTTTTGTTGGTTGGCTGGTTTAGTAGGTAGGCCCTTTGGGGACACTTTTCGGGAGAAGTGGTCCCGGCCTACCTCCATAAAAATAACACAATAAGCTTTAAACAAAAACGGGGTTAGATTGAAGAATACCGGACCAGCGGACTGACTTTGCCTATGTCTCAGCCTTAGGAATTCATAATTTTCCCGTTTTTAATGTCTCTCAATGGAGAATCTCGGACCGGTAGATCTATGAACAATTCATTAAAATTTTATCAGGGGGGAGACCCCCCTGAACCCCTCCTCTCCCCTCCTCCACCCGCCCCACCTACCCCACTTTCTCGCGCAATAATGTACGAGTGGTCCGGTATTCTTCAATCTTCCCAAAAACGGAAGTCGGGTAAAAAAGTTGACTGAGTTACTGAGTGGCCTATTTATTTATGTTTTGGGCTTTTTTTAAAGTTAGATTTTTCTATACTTTTATCTACATAATTTTTTCGAAGTAATAGTGCCGATCTTTATTTCTCCGAACGGTTTCCGGCTTCCGGTCTCGTGATTTTTTGCTTATTTATTGCGAGAGTTCAGCGCCAACTTTCATTCTGCCTCTGGTCTGAGGAGGAACACCGCATGGCAAGCCCGCCTACAGATAACCTTCAGTAACACCCTCCACACACCCACCACCATCATGCACATGTACACACCTCTAATTTAGGCCTCTAGATCAATATATATTTTGGGCGCGATCTGTCGATTTGCACGATCTGTCGATTTGCGCGATCCATCGATAGCGGGGCGCTTTTGGTTGATCGAGGAAATGCGCGACAATCCATCGATTGTTGCGCATTCTGTTGATCAGCAGATCGCGCAGCGCTTTTTGTCGATCCGTGAAATATATACTTACTGCGCATTCTGTCGATAAACTATAATGATGATGTGAATTAAAAAGAAAAAAGAAAATTGGTTTACTGAGTATGTCAGTCTTTGAGCATCCTGTTGTTTTGCTTCCAAGAAGAGTTGTGTGTTGAACTAAAGTGTTGACGGTTGAGTGAGGCAGATAAATTGACTCAACGTTAAATCGAGCACCTGCTCTCAGCATTTAGACAGATTTGATTGGCTGGGTACTTCACGTGGTATTCCAAATACGGTCAAGATTTAATGGCTTGTGATAAATTGTATAATTGTTTGTTAATGTTTAACAATCATGTCAAACTTCTCTTTTGTCAGTAACGCAGACCCAGGATTTTTAGACAATAACTGCGCTTCTTTCTCCATTATCGCCATGAACCACTCCATATTGAATAAGTGTTCGGAGTGATGGTGATACTCACCGACCTATACCCCTGATTTCAACTTCCGTTATTGCGATGTAGACTATTGTAGACTAGTAAGTTATTGTAACTCTGACTTCCAGTTACTTCCATTCAGTTTCGGTTTGACTTTGGAGAGTGATACTAAATTACACTCTGGACGACAACAAAACATAACAAAACTCAGGGGTAAGATCTATAGAATGCGCAACCAAACGGATCAACAAAAAGCGCTGAGCGATCCGCTGATCAACAGAATGCGCAACAATCGATGGATTGTCGCGCGTTTCCTCGATCAACCAAATGCGCTGCCGATCGTGCCCAACATATATAATATATATATATTATTTATATTTTAAATAGACAGACTTCGACCATGCCTTTCAGGGCTTTTCAACCCAGGCAGAAAAGGATACAACTTTCCAGCAGAGAAACAGTAATTAAAAGCTTTATATAATATCTCCCCACACATGGGAATCGAATTCTTGTCTTTTGTCATGTGTTATAAGTTTATATGGCAAAATCAAAATGCCAAGCTGCTACATCACAGGTGTTGGTCGTGTCTGCGAGGCTGATGCCTGAGTACTATAACTAGCTAGTGGTACTAGCACAGCACTGGTAGAAAATCTGGATAGCAACGGAAAAATTTCTTCTCTAAAATTGTCTCCTTTTACCTCCTTTGACCTTTCCAGCTCTCCAACAATGTACTGTCCTCTGCTTTCATGTCCACTTTCTGCCCCCACCCCCTCACCTCCTTTGCCTCCTCCTCCAGGCTCCTGACTCTTTCTGTAGCCTTTCTACTGCTTCTCCTTGGCTCTTTCTAACCTGTCTTTCGGCCACACCGCTGATCTTATCATATATGGTAAGTAAGACAGGGCTCCCCATTACACACAGATGTGTGTATATTACTCATTAAATCTGCTGATTACCCCCTTTCAGTTTTGGTGGTGCGTGAACGTTACTCTTTAAAATTTCGTTTTGAGGGTTGCATACTCTTCAAAACGTAGATGGTGTGCGTCTGGTAAGCATCATTTTCCCCCTTCTCTATCTCAAAGCTGAGTCAATGATTTGACAAAACACCCACACGCATACTCAGCGGTCACCTTTTGTCTCTATCAGAAGCAATCGACCTATCAAGCATGAAGCATGTTTATGAAAAGGAAGTGATCCACTCATCTCACTTACAATTTGTGCATGAGTTGTGGATGAGGCTTATCTGTCCCCCGTCGTTTTATGCAAGAAAAAGTCTGAAATTATGCAAACTGAGCAGCAAAATGTGAAATTATGCGATTCTGTTAATTTTAACAAAGAATGATAAAGGA